ATGCATCCATTTGCTAGGGAACGAATGGATGCATTCCTCCCAGAACGAGTGAAGCTGTGAGATGAAAAGCTCGGAGAGGTCGTTTTTGGGGTGGTTGTATTTACTGACTTTTCCTCTCCTATCTGCTGCATTATGTAGCTGGGGAGGTGATAGTACGATTCATCAAGGGTTAGGAGGGTTACGCGATAGATTTGGTATCGTAGTCTAGCGAGACTGCCCCTGTCCAGCTGAAGGTGAGGGAACAACGACTGCGATGGTATGGGCATGTGCTAAGGAGGCCACAGGATCATCCGATAAGAACAGCAATGGACTTCGAAGCGCAAGGCAAGCGACCGCGAGGAGGTGGAGAGACGTGATCAAGAAGGACCTACTGAAGTCAGGGCCACAGCAGAAGATGCCCTGGATAGAACAACATGGCGAAATGGCGACGGCTGACAAAGACAGCGGACCCTGCGACTGCGCGGGACTAACGCTAGGGAGAAAAAAAGAAGGAAGGAGCTTCACTTCGCAGCTTCACAGTTACACGACGGAGTGGGGTAGGGAAAAAATTGGGTCGAAAATTTTCACGCAGCGCGTAAACTCAATGCTCGTCAACCACTTGCATGAAGCTGAAAGGGGAACCGGCCATGATGGTCTCATATCAATCCGGAACAATAGCGCGCACAAGCCAAGAACGCCTTTGCTTCTCAAAACTATGCACACCATCCTCTTGATTCCTAGTCTAAAACATCGCCATCGATGGCTCCGAACAAATCCAGATTGCCTATCATTTGCAGTAATAGTGGACCACAAGGTGCAGCAGTGCTCACATGCTCTCAAGTTAAAGAACTGAAGTTGTGATCTTGGTTACACGGCGACTCGTTGGAGAGGGGTAGGGGAAATTGGGTCGAAATTTTTTAAATGTAGGAAGGGTGGGCGGACAAGATGTCTGAACTAGCCTGCTTCGCCTGCGTTTCCTGCTGGCTCCTGCCAGCAAATGCGGCTGCAATCGCATATGCACAATACAAACAGATACATATGCATCAGTAAAAACAAAGAAATACAATAATTAAATGAGTTAAGCAAGTAAAACCAATAAAAAAGCGCAGCATCAAGGGCAGCGATCACGCTAAGGTTCTGATTGTAGTTGTAGGGGACTTGGAGGCCTCAATAGTGCGCCTGTGGTGGAGAAAGCAGCGAAATCCGTCAAGGAGACGGAAAATGGGATTCCCTTTTGTGGCCGTTGATTCATGCCAAGCCATGCTCTAGTCGATGATACTAGGGTTTCAATTCTTGTTTTTGCTGCCGTCGCTTTTCTGCTTCTTATTTTATGTTGTTGTTCTTACCTTTAGGCTGTTGTCATTTTGTTTCAGAGAATGTGCTTATTATGGACTAACAAGGGAAGGATGGTAGGTCGAAGTGGCCGTTCGAAATGAAATGTATACCTCCTGATGCGTCTCCAGACGCTGATTCCAAATCTGCCTTCCAAATCTGCTAAACGACTCTCCGAACGGAGTTATGAAGCGTAATAGCTCAGTGGTGATGGTCCGGGGTGGCAGGTAAAAGCTCGTAGGATCGGTTCCTTTGCAAGTTTGTTGCTTTGCTTTTGTCTCTAGAAGTGTTGCGGACAAAAGCAAAGCAACAAACTTGCAAAGGAACCGATCCTACGAGCTTTTACCTGCCACCCCGGACCATCACCACTGAGCTATTACGCTTCATAACTCCGTTCGGAGAGTCGTTTAGCAGATTTGGAAGGCAGATTTGAAATCAGCGTGTCAGAATGCATAGAGTGGTATACATCTCATGTAGAACGGCCATGGCGACCTGAAGGACATTCCTTGTTAGAAGCAGATTCGAGACCACGCAATTCACTTCAATATCATTTCGTAAGCGTTGTCGTCTTCTACTGTAATTACCATTTGGCCGTTCTACTCCCCAGACTTCCTAAAAATGCGTGGTGGATGTTCGAGGATCATGG